ACTTAATTCCTTGACATACGAGGTTTTGATTGTTGCTTGTCATGAAATTGATGAAGGTTGTGATTTGTTGAGGGAGATGGTAGACAAGTTTTCCTTGTCTCATTCTATGGCGTTTAATTAGATCTTTTGCGGGTTGAGCAAGAGAGGTTTGTGGGGTAAAGCGGTCGAATTGCTCAGAGATGGTTGGTAAGAACATGACTCCTGGATTCAGGGCTTGGGAAGCAATTCTGCAAGGATGTGCAGTGGCATACAGTTTTGAAGTGAACTCTATAGGAGCTGATTCATCCAATTATCGTGGAGTCGATAAACCTTGTAATTTAATGTCGAGACCTCTTCTTCGTTTCTTAACATTGCCTCGTGATGAGGATTGAGAGGTGGCTGTTTTGTGTTGAATTTGAATTTAGGCAGAGAGTCTCGTGGAAACACCACGTATAACCTGAGAAAAAAGGCTTCATGATCCAAACTAGAGGGGGCAATTTGGATTGAGATCCATTTATCTATCCATATAATTCATAATTAAATGGATTTGGGTTATTCATTTATAGTATTGGTTTTAAATGGTTGGCCAACCGTAAAATCATTAAATTAAATCGATTTATATGAATTATCCACAAAAATCATATATATTCATTTACTTAAAAATCAAATAAAAGAAACGAAAAAAGAAATAACTAAAAGCAGACATTAGATTGATTCCTTTACCTCTTCACTCTCTGGTGGTTCTACTATCAAAACTCACATAGTCACACTCTCCCGAGGATCCATTTCCATTTTCCAGTCAATTTTGCCTTCCTTTTTTCAAATTGAAACTTAACTCTCATTCGTCCCCAAAAATCTCCAATTTTAATTCATCAATCAAAGTTGAGGTGCCTATATACTTCAAACTTGATTGTAAAACAAGTGAATGGCTTCTTATTTTCATGGACGAATTCCAGACTTTGTCTATTTGTGCTTGTGTACATACACCTGGTAGCTTTTAGCTTTATAATCTCTGTAGAATTTGAGAATCCACGTGGTCATTTGTGAAAAAGAATTTCATGAGTTGGTTTCTCATGAACAAACTCAACCATTAGACTTTTCCTATGAAAATGAATTTCATGAATTGGTGCCTTTTGACTTAATATTAGTCAGAAGACATCATCCACCAACTATTCTTAGATGATCCGTGACATCGTTAACGTAAAAAAAGGAACATGTGTTACTCTATTACATAGTGTAAAGAAGTATAACATTAAAAATGTGACAAAGAATGTAAATTCCCAAAATACTGATGTATACTTTATAGAATGAAAAACGTAATATCTGATGAGTAAAAAGAAAACATATATATATATATATATATATATATAAGTATGCACATATATTTGATTGGTACAGAAAGCTACTATTACGAGTCCTGGGTTTTTTTTTTATATATAAAAATCTAAGTATTTTGTCTTCTTTTTCATCCAAATAAGCCTAAAATTTACAAGTACATAAAAAAGTATTTTCATATTACAAGAAATGATAAAACAAAAAAAAGTAACCAAAATATTTAAATGAATTATAAATGGATAATTAATTTTTATTTAATTCATTTAGATCCATTTATTAAATGAATCTAAATGGATTGGATAAATTTCATCCACCGTACATTAAGTTAAAATCAATTATGAACCATTTATTTATATTGTCACCTCTAATTCCAGAATCCATAGAGAAAGATGTTCTTTCGTAATCTAGATAGAAAGCGCTCAGCTCAGGCCTTTGTATACACAAATGCTAGTCATCTTGTATTTCCGTCAATGCATGTTTCAGTGTAAGCCGGTATTTCTTTTTTGTAAATTCTCAGTATTACAACCTTTTCCAGGGAAGGTATTTTTGGTTGTCTGCTCATAATTCTTAATTATCCTGTCCTACTTCTTGGATTCCTCCCATGTCACAAAGAATTCAACAACTGCCTTTTGTTTTCTACCGAGCATCTTGCAACTGTTCTCGGTTTGGTTCCGTTCGCCAAACGTTTTCTTCTCGCATTTCTATTTATAAAACTCTCAAATCTGGCCATTATTCTTCCGTTGGCACTTGGCTATTGAGTATTCCACCATTCAGTCAGCATTTTAGACCAGGACTCTAATGGTGCTTCTTTTCACAATTCAAATCTGCCTCAGCCAGTGGTTTTTACCTTTCAATCTAATCCTGCCTTCCCTGAGGAGATAACTCCAGGGTCATGGCTGCGAATCCTGCAATGACAGGAAAGGTTACTAATGAATAGCTAAGAGGGAATCAACTGAATCATGATACGTGGAACCGACAATCATTTTATCTCGGGCCTAATCTTAAGTCTTTCCAACCTTTCCTTTGTGACTTTCTGGCAGTTTAATTTCTTTTGGCGGGTCCCTTTTTGGGCTTTTTTACTTTTTTTTTTTCTTTTCCTCTCTCTCTTCTTTGGAGCCTTTTATTTATTTGAGAAAGTAGCGCAGATTCCACAAATAACACTAGGGACAGCAAAGACAAAAAGCTTGTTTCAGAACTAGTGAACAAAGACTTTGGTTCCACTAGTTCTGATCCACGTATATACTGGGTTAAGAGTGCCAGTACCGATCAGGTGCCTAGCCAATTTAGGGTTGGTCCGACATGTTACTTTTCTTAATTGAAGTTCATTAGTTGTTTATGGTCATCTTTTACCTCCATGTTTTGTTTGATCGAACTGAAAAAATGCTTCTGATGGAGACGTTGGTCGTTACTCTTAAAATCTCAAGGAACAAAATACTGGTACCATTTTAGTTAGGTGCTGCCCTAATTCAGTTAGCAATGCTCATGATAACTGAGTGATGGACCTTCTCGTGAGATTGAAGAGAGTAGAGAGCCTTCAGCCGGAAAACAAAACTGCACTCAGACAGTTTTCCCCACCATTCGTTAGGCTTTGTTGCAAAGTCATCTGCAGTAATCATTTTAATTGCCAGCCGATTGCGACTGATATGACAAGGATTTGTACGCGCCTGTCTCGTTGTATGATTATTATTCCTCAGTCCTCATAGAGTAAAATTGCTACAGTTAAAAGTTCTCTTCAATCCAGGAGCTCCTGTATGGTTGAGGAAAATTTTTTTTAAGGTAAAATGTGAGCTTTTATTTATAGAAGAGCATTAGCTATTACACAGTAGCAGAGGCTATCTATACAACAAAAGGAGTATTTCAAAAGATTTTGTTCCATGTTGAAAAATCAAAGAGACTTCTTATCATTTTATAATGTTTAGTTTCTTGTTGAATTTGTGTTAGATTGATAACTAGTGTGAGCTATTAAGCACTCCTATATCAGGATAGTGCTATTAAATACGACTGAAGCTTCATCGTCTGCAATTTTGTTAGTATTGTTCGGATTATTTTTACAACATTAGGCACACCCTCCAGGAAACACCAATGAGCCAAATAGTTTCAACAATCTGATTTACCATAGTCACAGTAGAAGCGGCCCCATTCTGGACCAACCCCAGGTCCCTAGTTCTACAAATGAAATACACTAAGACAACAAGAGCAAGCCTACGAAATCTGTCAACAAAAGAATTGGATTTCCAGTGTTCACAAATCCAAGGTAATTCTGCCAGATTGCAGCCGAGACAGGACATTCAAAAAAAAAAATTAGATGGTTCATCGATACAGCACACATTCAGTCACCAGTTACGCACCCACAGTTATGCATTCTATCTTTCTTGCATGGCAACCATAGGATGAATGAGAATTTCGGAGTTGACCCCTTATCCCATACAATCAACTGGAATGAATCATTAGCTATATAAAATGCATCAGGCGAACGGGTTGAGTAAATGAGCTTTTTACTAGCATTGCTTTGTGTATCTTTTACAGAAACACACAGATCTTTGGTTTTGCATTTAGTCATTCATTTCATTGAGATTTATTGACAAAAAACAGAAGTCATTTCTTTGAGATAGATTTTTTGCAACTATACTTGGGAATGGCTATGAATTGACGTATACCGTTCTGTCATGCTATGAAAGGCTCGTAAGATTTACATGCGCCTATGTGATGCAGGCTTGCACTGGGCATGAAGGGTAAAGTTTAGACAGTCAAACCTAACTTTGAAATGCCAACTACCAACAATCTCTCAAGACCCTACCAGGACACCAACACCAGCTGCATATTTTAGCATTTCTATATGATCAATTTCGACTAGCCAACCGCTACAATAAAGTCACTACTTTCCACTCGCCAGACAGATCACTTAGATTGGAATTGAAGCGAATGTCTTCTCATGATTTAATGGTCGGTATAGTAGTTTAAACTCTGCATTTCTTTGAGCCTTCAGCCACAAGGATCTGAGTGCCCACCCTGTCGTCGGGGATCATGTCCTGGCCTTTTATGATATTGACGGTAGTAGTACGTAGTAATGGTACATTCTTTTTCTTTCCCCCCCCCCCCCCTCTCTTCCGTTTGGATAAATGATGCTACCAGTAGTGATAAATTAAAGTGATTTCTGGCTGAACTCTAAACTCTGAAGTGGCGGAGTTACATTTCGGTTTGTTTTCTTATGGGACTTTACTTTATCAACTGCAAACTACCGTACGTGGTTTACCAGTTTTTTTTTCTATTAAAACCGCTAAACTTTTTACGCCAAAGTAGCCAAGCTTGCTAAGGGTAAACCGAAAATTCTCCTGTGGATCAACTCCAACATATACCTGCCAGTGATCAGTTTCCTACCATATACCATGTCACTACTCATTCTTAAGGCTGGATCTCAAGTTTTTGTTTAATTGAGCAGAGAAAACGAATTAAATGGAAATCTATGTTACTACTTGGAGAGTAGTAACACTACTCCTAGGAACCAGCACAACAAGCGTCACCATATATCAACTTATTTGGTTTTTATCATGGACAGACTAGTCAGCTCAGCTCTTGGGGGATTGTATCAAAAACCTCACTAATCATGGATTTTCTATGTTCCCTGTCCTAAGCAAATTAACTACAACTGCTTCAAGATCTTAGACTTTGTATGCATTATGAGTTTTTGCAGAAAAGTTTTTTCCGTACATTTCTCAATCGCTTTTTTTTTTTTTCACTCATACACATTGCATCATTATAGTATATTTTTCTAAGAAAATTCAAAAACTTGCTATCTAAATGATGCCTTAGCAACCGCGCCCATATACCCAAAAACCCAAAACAAAATTAGTTAAAGAGAATAATTTAGTGGTCATCATTTACATACCTATTACTACAAGGACACGTATTATACTTGGGGCAGGCCAGCCGGGTTGGCAATGACACGAGAGCTTTCAAGCCAACTTACCCACAAGCAGGAAGTATTGCAGCATGGTCCCGTCCAGCAAGGCCCTTAATACGCAGTAGTATATAATGTTTGATGTCCACCGCATTATTGAACAGATATTCTAGTTGGTGTCCATAGAATTGCATTCAGACCATAATCACGTCAGCTGCCTTTCTCTGTCCTCGAAATCGTGTGGTCTTTTAAGGATTTCTGATCCCTAAGTTGCCGATGCTTTCAGTTGCATAAAAATGGGGAAATTTTTTTTTGCCCTTTACACCACTGCGAGACCACTAACGAAGAAGTTCCAGAGTTATTTAGGAGCAGCATCGATCAGAGAACAATACGTTTTCAAGTCAAAGAAGAGTGCCTTTTTGATCAGGGATACCTAGTGGCCGAACTGTCTGCTGCTCATCATCTGCAGTACATGCCATCATCAACATCAACTCGGCAAGAAAGAAATACAAATTGACGGAGAGAATTTTTTTTTTAAACGTATACTAGGGCACAACAAATTGTTTCACCTGAATAATCAGTACTTTTGGTAGATTAAAAGCCATATCCGAAGAAATATAAAGTAAGGTGCTGTATATTTTGGAGCAAGAAAAAGGAGGGGGCATTATCACCTAACATCATCGCCGGGATGGTGACTGTTCAGCTTACCATAAGGTGCATCCTCGCTTTTGTTCTACAATAATTCACGTGCTCTACTTACTGGTAATAAACCAATCTGCCGTAAAACTTATAGCTGAAGTCGACCTCTATCCGGTGCCTTTCAACCTTGCTTTAATTTGCTGAAAAGCTTGAGGCCCAAAAAAAAAAAAAAAAATCTCTTCCATCACTCACTAATCTAGACCACTCAATTCATATATAGTATTACCTTTTTCTTTGCCATAATGTTGGTCTCGAGAGCATTGCCCTTCATCATTATGATCTAAATCGTAATCATCAAATTGAAGTTGAAAGCTGGCTGCCTAATGCTTTTCAGGAAAAAAAAAATTGGCCATGAATTATACTACTAGCATATGTTTCTTTCATCAATTTCGATGCTGGGGATTTAAGTTTGAGTTCGACATAATGGACTTACCCGGCTGGGAGTGATGGCTCCTAGCTCTCTCTTAATATCGGATTTTGCCACGGATATGTTGCCGCTGCAACAGATCTCTATGCAGTAGTATACAGCAGATTAATGAAATGCGTACAATCAATCATGCGTAGTAGTACACAATACTAAGGCGAGCGGTCACGATGGAGAACACAGGCACATGAAGAACTAACCCATTGAGCCCCCCCCCCCCCCCCCCCCCAAAAAAAAACCCACAAAGCAAGGTAAAAAAAAGTTCCTACAGCAGCAGTTCATAAGTTGAAACTGAGTAGAGAACATATATGTTTATGTATAGTATTGCATGAGTTAATAATGCACGTGCCCTGCTTCTCCATCTTGCTCAACGGTCGCCTTGTCAAGCCAACGCCCAGCACCAGCTAGCCTTCCATGTACTCGGCATATGTGTGTGTGTGTGTGTGTGATATATGATGGGTGGGAACTTAGAACTGGGAATTATAGGCTCTGGGAGAAGAGATGGGGCTATTAAAATTAGACTTCAGATGATCATCCAGTGCTAATGGCGATTGACGTTTGATATGCGCACGCTTCTCATTTATAAGGAGGCAACCAAACGTTGAGTCAAATGTGCAACTGGAGTATGAGACTAGTTGTATCTAGGGCAAATTACATTTTATTCCCTGTGATTTAATGTTTTTATATAATCTCCCTATGATTTTAAAAACTATATATTACCCCTCATGATTTAGATTAAAGTGTCAAAGTGATGAAAATAGTCATTCGTAACGGAACTTTTAAAAATATCGAAATTACCCTTATAAATACATGACATACTAACCATGTATGATTTTTATGTTTTATCATATAACCCCCTTTAATTTTGATACTTTATCATATAATTCCCTTATGGTTTTTAAAATATACACATAACTCTCCTTGGTTAATAAATAATTTCAACTTTATATAAGGGTATTTTTGACATTTTAGGTTACTTCATTACGAATGATCATTTTCGTCACTTTGACATTTTAATCTAAACTATTAGGGGGTTATGTATAACTTTTTAAATCATAGGGGGTTATGTAAAAAAATATCAAACCACACAAGGATAAAGTGGAATTTGCCCTTGTATCTATCTTGTAACAACTACTCAACTAGGATGAGGAGGGATGGGGGCCTCACAAGTTAAGCTCTTATTATATTCAATGTAAAATCATGTAGCTTTTATAATAATCTCTAATTTAGTTATGTGAGTTGATAAATTTAAGTTAGTTTTAGAATAATCTCTAATTTAGTTATGTGAGTTGACAAATTTAAATTTACACCCAAGCTATATGCATTTACACAAAAATTATAAAAATTACATTAGCTAATTTGAACTGAGCAATACTCAACTTGTGAGGTTACTCATCCCCTGATGACTGACACCAGAAGAGAGGGGAGCAGGCCAACCGATACTATTTAGACACATACACGTAGTTTGTAGTGGGAACCTTCAACATATATATATATATATATATATATATATATATATGTATATATATTACTTAACCCCCCTCCCCAACCCCCGAGGAAGAGAAAGGGTTGAGAAGTATGTAGGACCACTCTTAAGTGGAGTACTAGTGAGAAGAGCAAACTAACAAAAAAAAAGTTTGCAAAACTTTCTGTTCCTTTTAAATGGACGTTCCAAATTAGACTAATCACTTCTCATTTGAAACATTTGGCGTACGGTAGCTGATGTGAATTTCAGTAATTTGTAGTTGCATGTGGTGTACATTTACATTAAACTCTTCTCATTAACGTATGGTTGAGCCTCAACAATTGCAACTTGAGATGTCATCAAGAGACAAATTAGAAAATAATATATATATGAACATGAACATGAACATGAACATGAACATGAGGGATGGAAATCGGAATGTCGTCCGCCGCTTAAGTTTTAAGGTTGTCCATAATCATTAGTTGCCACAGAACGTGCAGTACCCTACTTGGAATGCGTCGCAATCAAAACAATTTTGCATGCCCTATATCTCTGGGGACACAATTAAGCTGGATTCCCCAGACTGTTATGGATCATAGATAACTGCAAAATATCTTTGGACAGGCCACCCACCCAAGGGCTTGAAGCTGCTATATGATATCCAACCCTAGAGTTTTCTTTCTTTCGTTTGTTATTACATGACCAGAAGTGTTCCCTTGAACCCCTCCCTCCCCACCTTTTGCACGGATAAAAGCTGTAATGACTGTTTATGGTGACTGAGATGAAGCATGCCCAACCGAACACGTATGGTTTAGAAGTAACACATTCTCTTTTCTTCTTTCCTTTTGGATTCTTTAATTTGGAGGGTTTGTAATTTTCAATAGGAATTGAGAATAATATCTCATGTGTCAGGTTTGAGGTACCTCACCCAGACAACTAATTGTAAAAGATCATATGATGGAAACGTCATGGGGCTCAATGGAGCATGTTCATATATACATCCGAACCTTCTTTTAAATTGGTTTTATTTGTTGGGGCCATTCGCGAAGGCCGAATCAATTATTTCCCAGATGGGTTTTACTGTTTTCCATTAATTGTTTTACAATCCCATCGAAAAAGAACTTGATCCCTTCCAAATTCCAGCCACGTTCTTTCTTTTTCTCTTGGCAACATCAAGTCTATCAATTCCTACCATTCTATAGGTAGTATGATTTTTCTCATCACTTTTCTTCTTCTTCTTCTTCTTTTGGTTTGTCTTTCTTCGTTACAATCAAAATTTTTTCGCCTTATAACTTCTGAAAGGATTTCTAGGTAGCTGAATCACGAGATATCAAGTACGAAGACACAGGAGTCAGGTGAATGTATGTACCAGTTCAAGATTAGGTCATCTCAACACTAAACAAAATGCCTCCAAAATATCAGTGAAATTCCTAATAGCTCTCTTATATGACGTGCTTGTGTTGTAATTAATTGGGAGCTGCATATGTTGGTTTAATTACCTGATTGTAGAGAGAGAGAGAGAGCTTATTGTGTGAGTCGACATCCACATTCTCCGCAAAAAGATTGACAAAATCTTAGACAGCCTATGGGAGGAGAATTGCGAACTATTATCTAATCTGCAACTGGTCCAGGCAGCAGAAGAAAAGGCAGACGCAAATGGTGGATACAAATCGAGAATACCTTTTCATGTTCATTACTAGACTCCCCCACACCTACCCTTCTCTAACAGCGTATATACTTAATAAGCTCTTGGAATTCAAAATTAATAGCGCGCACACATATATATATATATATATATATATATATATATATATATATATATATATATATATATATATATATATGTCAACACAAATTAGTTTAATTAATAAGAACGAGTTACTTCTTCACAAATAGTTATGCATTCAAATGAATATCGCTGTCAACGTAAAAGCTGTGTTGATGAAACATTTGGAAGAATCTCTATGAATGACCTATGATCCCAGCAGCATGCCCTAACCTGTAATAATATCTGAAAGCTTATATATCTGCAACCTTAATGAATGTACGTACGGCTGAAATGAACACCAATAGCTTGAGCGTGAGCCTGAACTCGACTCATACGCAGAATCAACTACACATCAAGTTTGGTTTGCCCCCAAAAAAAAATTACACTTGCAGTAGTAGTAGGTAACGAACGACAAGGTTCTCCCACAGATCGACCATACTTGATGTCCAAAGAGTAAATTTAATTCTTTTTCTGCTTAAGGATTAATCAATTTAAAAGCAAGAGTAGGTACCTGATCTTTTTTTTTTTTTTTGGGTTGTGATTGGGACTGGGTTCCACTGAAAGAGATTTGAGTAGGATCCAAGTGTAAATACCCCAAATGCAGTAGGCGCATCCCAGAATTTCTCAATACTAATATAAATAATCAAATGAATTCAGACACATCATTTTCCTAACTATATTTGACATCACAAGATCTAAAAGAAATTATCTATTAACAGAAGATTTAAGAACAAGAAGAAAGAAAAAAGGTGGGATTAGTTAGTGCTCACTGAGTTGGTACTCCCTTTAAAAAAATCGTAACCAGGGTGAAAAAGGGGGAGACATGAAGCATTATACCAGCAGGTAATGCCATAACACAGCTAATTACTTTACTAATATAATGGACATACCACTTCAAAGACAGAGGCACATTTAGTATTAGGAGTAATTCGTTTCCCGGTGGCAAAATAATAGGCAGAGCAGTGGGGTTCTGTTAATTGATGTGATGTAAGTAGAATGTGGGCCTTCAAGTGTCACATCCCCTGTGTTTAATTACTATAAACCATACTTTTCTTGACTGCACACACTACTGATACTGATATATATATATATATATATATAATTAAAGTACTAATGTGTGTGTATATATATATATATATGTTTACGTTGGACTCGTTGGTTGTGACAGTGATGATTACCATTTGCGATTTGTACATTAATTGGAGTCCTTTCAGTATGATGCGTCTCACTCGTGCACAGTTTTGGCCACCAACCTTTCTTCATCTTCTTCACAGCTGGTAATTTAGGGTGCACGTAATTAAATCAAAGCTTAACTGGCAAAAGCTAAAGCTAGCCGGTCTTGGAACCTCTAATTAGGAGCACACGACCCATGTTTTCCTCATTACTCTTGGAAGTATGCTACAGCTGAAAAGGGCCATCCAGCCCTGCTTTCCTGGAGGAGTTTTAGGGCTGACGACAGTTTGGTACCCGCACTCAAGACATACAGTGGGTGGGAGACACCTTTCCCCCTTATCGGGCAACCAAATGCATACATACGTACGTTAAATAATTTTTCTTAAAAAAAAAAAAGAAAAAGGCCACCTGCCATCGTCAACGTGGCGCAAGGTTTTGGTCATCAACCTTTTAGATAGAGCATCTACAGTAGCTGAGTATTATTATTGCTCTTGCGCTCTCTCTATTTTATTACAATCTTGCATTGATTCGGTTTATCTATAGATTAACCGTCCTTTTGGAGCTCAGACAAAGAGCGTCTATTTTACTTTTTTCTTTGAAAAGTCCCCACTACGATTGCCTATTTGGTCTAATCCAATCCAACTTTTTAAAGCATCAGAAATTGTCTCGTCTATCTCTTTCTTTTGTTTGTTTCCCCAAAACTACCTTGGATCCGTCAACAGGGAGTAACGCATTGATTAAAACTGATCATCACACCCCCCGGAATTACACGGCGTGTAGGCATTTTCCATGTGATCTTCTCG